ACACAGACACACACACACATATATATGTATGTGTATATATATATATATATATATATATGATGTTCTTTATGCAGGATTTACTAGTCTTTGAGATTCATGCCATTTCACTCAAGGGAATTATATATGGAGAGTTAAGGATAAAAGTTGGGGTTTTATCCTAAATGCACTATTACATTTTTTCTTTCATAGTTTTATGAGGCAAGATGATGGCGAACTAAAGAGGAGGTAGGAGATCATTTTAATCCTGATTCTGCCTCTGAATAATTTTGTGATGCTTAATAATGCTCACTTGTAATTCCAGCTTCTCAGGAGGCTGAGGCAAGTCTATGACAAGTTCTAGGTCAGCCTGGGCTACACAGTGACATTATCTCAACAAAAAATAAACAAAGCCTAGATAACTGTGCGGACTTGAAAGTCATCAGATCGGCTACATTGCACAATTGTCAGGGCACCATCATCTTTGATGTAAACGGTGCCCTGGCATTTCTGTGCTGTGGAGTATGGTTTGTGAAGGGCGACTTCCTGAGTTAATGTAATGCAAGCTCCATTAGAAAGCTTATTCTCTTTAGACCTGCTTTCTTGCATATAAAATATGTAGACTGGATTAAATGACCTCGGGTATGCTGGACTCTCGAAAATGATTCATCAGTGTTACCACCCTCTGTTCCATGAGTGGGTTCTGTTTCCAGCAGGTTAGTAGAATTAGCTTTGTTATTAGAGTAGTACCTGTAATATTCATTGCAAGAGTATTTATTTAATGTCTGTCTTCATGTATAGACTTCTGTGGGCAGGATTTCTTGGCTTAAATTTCAGTTGTCTGAATCATGCAATCTGTTGTTAGAATTTGAAAGACATTTGTTTAAGGGATTGCATTAACTGTTTTGTGAAGTAATAGCTTTGACACAAAGTTGCAAAAAACGGGTATCCTAGCCAATGGTTATGAGTAAATAATTTCCAGATCTTTTAATTTTAGTTCCTTTGATCAAAAAACTACATTTTATACCGAATGTAGTTTATTCCATTGGAATATGAACATATTTTGATATTTAAATAAAATTCTGAAGAAAATAGAAATGTCTAAAAATCCCTCTTCACTTGAGATGTTGAACCATTGATAATGGTACAATATATAACTTTCCAGATCTTTCTCTTGTATATCTTATATTATTTATTAATAAGACTATTTGGACATTCTAGATTTTCCAAATTTAAGGATATGAAACTTTTAAGAATTTATTTGTACATAAAAAATAACTGTGGACCCATTCATAAAGATTTTAAATTCTAGTTTTATTCTGAATATACACTTAACATCTTTCCTTCAAAATTGTTTCTTTTTAATTGTCCAAGTCACTGCAATATCCTGGTTTCTTTAATCTAGAAGCAGTCACCTAGCATCAGTGAATGTTGATTTAATTTGACAAAAAAGTCTCTTCTGTTTTCAGAGACAGTCTGGATAGGAAAGTAAGTTGCTTGCTTTATACAACTTGTCATTTTGTTTTGTTTTGAATTCTACTGTAAGTGCTATACAGTATAACCAAGAAACATCTGGATACAGTTTAATGCCTATTAAAAACTCAGAAAAGTATGCATTGTTTCACTGGCAGAGAGTCTAAGGAAAATTCTTTTGGGGAAAAGAAGTAATTTCACTCAGTTCTACTGCTGCTGCAAGGCTGAGCCGTCTTTGAGTAACTGCTCTCCAGAGAGGATGATCATATACTCTGTGGTGCTTGGGTTTCTTTTGGACTGGTTGTAGTGTCTGCTTTGCTGCATGAAAAAACAGTATCTTAGGTGCAGCCAAAAGAATGCCTTTTTTTTTTCTTTGATTTTGAATAAGACATCACTGCTACAGCCCTCAATTCTGGTATTTCAAGGAATGTGTTAGCTGGATAAAATTGACTTTTGGCATTTACATTAAGCAAGAACATTGGAGCTCAGTTTTAAGTGATACTTAAAAAAATAAGGTGCTGGGCCGGGGCTTTAGCTCAGTGGCACTGTGCCTGCCTTGCAAGCTCAAGGTCCTGAGTTCTATCCCCGGTAGCCCCCAAAAAAGTGCTTTTTAAATTTTACATATTTTTTGTCCCTTATATTTCATGTGTAGTATTTAACATATTGAATTACCCTGACTTCAGAGACATTCCAGAGTATGTGAAAGTGCAAAGATTATTATGAACAAATGAGAATATACTCTTACCTGCTTTTTAAAAAGGAAAGTAGTCAAATATGGTGCTCTGCTTTGTGTATAAGTTGTCAAATACAAAAATTGATTAAGCAACATGTAAAAGTTTTATGTATTATAATTACCATGGTTGTTTTATGTTATACCAACAGCAACACAGAGTGTGGTAGGAAACTGTGTGTGTGTGTGTGTGTGCGCACGCGTGTGCATGTATAAACAAAGTGAATGAGGGAGAGAGCAGAAGAAAGACTAAATAAACTAGAATTGCTTGACTTATGATTTAAAGTGCTGCAAGCATTAATTAAATTTGGCAATTTGGCTTTCACTTTATCTTGCGGCAAGAGACGAGGATTGGGAACACAACTTTATTTTTTATGCAATATTTTGGTATGTGTTTAATGAATATAGGATGTCCTGAAGAGGAGGTGTTTGAAAGAAGCCAATGTTAAAACATTTTACTTAGTAAGATTACTGACTAAGCTCTTAGGAATACAGTTTTAAAAGTTTGTGGATGTGTGGGGTCTAGCTTATCCTGGTTTGAAGTTTTTAGAAAGTTCTTGAGCCAGAAAATTTTGGATTAAAAGCATATTTTTGGAACAAACTGCAGGAATCAGAATTCTTAAATAGCAGTAGGCCAGTTAATTGGCTTTGTGTTGATTTTGAAGCTTTTTATCAGTTGTAGTGTCCTTGGCATAATCCACCAGGCCTCTTCCCAGCCTCCCTCAAAGCCCTGACCCCCAAAAAGCTTTTAACTGCATAGTGTGGGTCATCTTAAGACTGCCTACCTCTACAGCATTAAATGTCAGTTTTACATTGTCAGTGCTCATTAAATTGTAACAAAATATTAAAAACCCTTACCCATGTGGTTTACACAGGATATCAGTGAATTATTTGTCTCTATTAGTGTAAAAATGGTTAATTTCCTTTGGCTACTGCTTTTATATTTCAGCTATGTTTTAGAGGACTTTGGTATGTTATCTGTCTATCACCAATATCTATATTTTTCTGTTTTGTTTGGAGACAGAGTCTTCCTAAGTTGCCCAGACTGGCCTTGAACTCATGATCTTCTTGCCTCATTCTTCCAAATACCACCATGCCCAGCAAAACAATGTTCATAGGGAAATTAAAAAAAAATAATAATGATAATGGGTTGGAATCCAGAGCCTTGCATGGGTTAGGCAAGCTCTCTACCACTAATCTATACTCCAGTATCTCTGCTTTTAAAATACTTGGATATATATATGTATATGTATGTGTGTGTGTGTGTGTGTGTGTGTGTATCTATATTTTTTTTGGTGGTACTAGGGATTGAATTTAGGACCTTGTGTTTTTCAGGCAGGCACAGCACCACTGAGCTATATCCCAAGCCCCAATACTTAGTCATCTTTGATTGATCCTATAAAAATAATCACTAAACTATATGACCTTAATGATAAATACAAACTTCATCATTATGTGATATTGAGGGTGGGTGGAAAGAGAGATATACTGTTATAAGTAGGATTTTGTGATTTTTGTTTTCTTATGGTATAAACAGTTTCTCTCATAGCATCCTGTATAAAGTAATATTTTTTAATTCTTTTTTTTAAACATGAATCAGGGTCTCACTATGTTGCCTCACTCCCCCACATTGAACATCTTAAATTTGTGTTTTACAAAGTGAATTGTTTTTCCTTGGATAATTAAACTAAATAGTATCTGCCTCTGTGTTTTACTACATTATTCATTTTAACCTAGATCTCTGTTCATTTGTTGAGCCTCCCCTCTGTTGTTTGGAATAGAGAGCACAGCTTTAAACTCCTAGGATATCCACAATTGGTACACTAAACTCATGTATTAGTTTTTAAAGAAAAGAAAAATCATAATATTTGTATACTTTATTCTAAAAGCTTAAATCCTTTTTGTATTTACCTAAACCGTGATAGGTTGCTCGTGTAGCTTTCCTACACTGTATGGTGTGACTTCCTTCTTTAAATATTAATATAAGTAAAGTAGACCTTTAAAATGTTCAACTGCACAGATATTTATTGGGTACTTAGTGTACAGTGCTTTCTGCTGCTCTATGCAGATAACACAGCGGTGAGCCTTTAAAGTCCCCCTGACATTTTGTCTCCTTTTCCCCTCTCTGTCGCCAGACTGGCTCCAACGAGTTCAACGAAGAGTACGCAGGGCCCTCAACTCAGCCAAGGAAGTTCTTGGCTCACTGCAGAAAAGAATTTATGGGAAAAGAAAGAAGGGAATGGAATTAATACGAGAAAATGAAAAATAATGGAAACAAAGTCTGTAGATAAAATATACTTGACAAGTCCTGTGTATTTTCCTCTGATTTAGGGATGTCCCTAAAATAACTTAGGGATGTTCCTGTGAGAGACATAGGAAAGTGTTATTAGGGAGAGTTAAGGAGGGACACACTCCAGGCTCACCTCGAGGGAGAGGTGTGATGTGGTCTGAGGTTAGTGTTATATATGTATTCTGGGAGGTATGCTTTTTAAGATGGGTGACCTGAGGTGTTTTGCCTAAAAACATTCTTTGAATCTGTTTTTGTTGTTATTTAAATCTTAAGGTCAGGTTTCTGCCTTTTACTTTATCAACTAGGTTAATTTATGAACCTTTAGTGTCCTTAAGGGGTTTAAGTGTGATGGGCCTGGAAGAAAACAAGTAAGCCTAAGGCTTAACAGATGCAGAGTACAGATATAGATAACCCTGGGTAATCCTGTGTCTTCAAGTTGCGTTCTTAAAAGTACAGCTAGAAAATTATGGTTTTCATTGTGTCTCTTCTGTGTTTATTTCTTGTATCTCATCTTCACCAGTTTAGCTCATATCCATCCCTGCAGTTCCCTGCTTGCATCTCTCCTTACTAGGCTGGAGCATCTTCCTCACCTCAGCTGAGCCAAGGGTCCCTGCCCGCCTTCACAGCTTGGCAGACTCACACTGTACACAACACAGAATCTAGGCTCTTGAACTGAGCAACAACTGTTGCCCCTTGGTCCAAGGACCCCCCATTTAGAGCTTCTGCCTACCTCCAGACACTCCATTCCTCTGGCTGCCTTGCTGCTCTGTCTGCTTCCACTTGACAAGTGCTGTGTATTTTCCTCCAATTTGTCTAGGCCAGCTTCGGGATCCCCTCATCCGTGGTCTGTGGTCTGTGGACCTTTTCTCTAGGAAGGCGCTTGACTCATTGTTATGTCTTTCTTACAACTAAGCCATCTGCAGCAGCTCTGAAACCTAACCATGCCAAGTACACGGTAGACATCAAATACTTGTTTCAAGTAGTATCCCGAATTATACTCATTTGATACAGTATTTCCAGTCCACAATTTTGATTGATTACAGATTTTAGTTTAAGATCCAAAAGCAAAACAACCATTAATCACACTGAAGAAGTGAATCATTCAAGGGATTTTATTCATTGAAAAGCAAAGCCAGACTGAAAATAAACGTGACCATTTTTATGAAAAGAAACTTAATTTAGTGCCAGAAATGGAAGTTTGTGGTAGAACATTTGCCTAGTAT